TCACATTTCTTACTCTGTCAGGTCTGCTTAAGGTGCAATTTTCTCCGGGATATCTTTATACACATATCCTTCACACAGAGCCATATAGTGCTTTACTGCCACCCATTTTTTTTAGCTTGATGCCTACACTAAACACATAAAATAACATATATACAGAAAATAGGGTTGACTTTAAAAGGTGGAGAGTTCCCCTACAACTAAATTGTCGCTTTGAGTTACTCCCCTTAAAGGAATGCAATGGTGCATGCATTGCTGAATTAGTTAGCTAGGAAATACAGATATTACTTGTTACATATTACATATTAACATCCCTGAAAATTACAGATATTCTGTTTCTCTTTCTGTGTGGGTTAAATAAATGAGACAAAAAGGTTTAATCAGTTTTAGCTGTAATCTTTGGACAAAGCCAGGCTTTATGCTAAACTAGGCTAAGTCCTGACTCCTGGCTCAGTTGCCTTTTTTATCCATTGTCTCATCGTAAAAAAAAAGGAAGGATACTTCCCACAATGTACTGACCGTTCTTGTAAAGGAGGCCAAATGTATTCAATAACGAATCGTTCCAGCCCTATTGTCCAGTGACAAAACCCAGGGGTGGATCTAGAGAAATATTAATGGTGTCCTGAAGGTGGCATGGAGACGTTAAGGGGTGGCAGAAATACATGCCGATTTAATCACAATCACATTGAACTGAAAAACATTAAATGTGGCACATTAGTAAATCATTAAATAAAAATATCTAAAGGAGGCATTAGAAATCAATGAATTTTTCATTTCCAAACATTTTTCAGACATTTTCAAATACAAGTTCTTTTTTTCAATGAACTGAAAGGGGAACTTGGCAACTTTCGGGGGGCTTAATAAAATTCGTGTTTAAATCATTTGGATGGTCTAAATGCCTGTTCGGCTGAAAATGGTGCAGCCCACCCCCCGTCTGCGCTACCCCCCCAGGCGGGAAACCAATCTTGCAAGCTTTGGGACTTACCGTCCCGGTAAATTGGCAGATAGGAAGTATCGCAAGAAGGCGGAGAACGGAGCGCGAGAAAGACGAAACGCTTTACGCCAATTCCACATAAACGCACACGCCGCCCCTCAATAACGGTTAGGTGTATAATGTATTACCCACCGCTCGGCTATATACTGGGCTGGTTGCTCCCACGGGTGGGGGGGGGGCGGGGAAAAGAGTTGCTGTTTGAAAAAAAGGCACATCAGGCGGTTCGAGTGGTAGAAAGGCGGGAGGGCGGAGGGGTGCCGCAAGGTGAGTTCGTTTTTACGACGTGTTGGTGAAATACAGCGGGTCCCGGCTGGGCCTCAGGGCTAAGGGGGAGCTCGTTGGGAAACATTGCGATGACAAAAGGAGAACGACAACCAGCGAAGAAAGGAAGAAAATGGCTGAAGCGTTTGCAGCCAAGGTTCCCCTTTAAAGGGACCAGCTGTGTTAGGATGATAAGTGGCATCTAGCAGTCAAGTTTTCAGATTACAACTAACTGAACGACTGCCTTAGCGTGTCGTAGGAGAAAACTACAGGTGGCCACCCAGAAACACAATAAGAAGAAGACAGATTAAAGCTGCCAAGCAGCGGCAATGAACGGGCCCTCCGCACTCCACGCAACTCCGTGCTGCTGCCGCCCCTTCACGGTCGCGTTGCGGTTAAACAGTCGATGTGACGCGCAACCCTGATGAAATTCCTGTTCACGGAAATCCAGATCAAATTGGCGGGCGGTTACTTCCTGTTGCCAGTGCCGGGCCGGGCCCTGCTGCCAGGAGGGTTGGCCCTATCACTATATCTGAATATTATCACAATTAGGTATGTTCAACGGACGGCCACTCGTTACTCAGGACCCAAGTGAAGTTTGGAGCCCAATGGACAATGTACACTCAAGTTATAGCAAACTCGTGTTTTGTGGCGGTACATCAAAATTTCACGCCACGCCACAGACACGCCCACTCACCACATTCATCACATATCATCAACAATGTGTTTTGCATTTTATAAGTAAATTTCAGCTGGATCTGATCATCCTGCTAGGAGTAGAACATGAAAGTATAAAACGATGATATTTTATGTTGCAACTAGGTGGTGCTATCACTATATCTGTATATTGTCATGTAGACGTGTTCAGGGCGGGACTCTTATGAGACATGTGAAATTTCGTTGAGATCTGATCATGTTTGACAAAAATTTTATTTTTGTATACAGTAATAGTGTCATATTGTTATGGCTGCTATTCCCAACTGTCTCATTACTTTATCTTTTTAAATCATAGCTTTCAACTTAAAACTATCCAGTTCAACCTGTAGAATTCTCATAATTTTTTATTCATTGATATTTCTTTTTCTTTAATGGTTTGACAAGAAAATGCTCATACTCAGTTAAATTTTTTGAACAAATTATTTTTGCCTCTGCCATTGTTTTGGCTCCAGATTCAGTGTACTAGTGTTTTCTATTCCATTCTGTGTTCTTATGAGCACCATTAGACCAACAGCATATACTCATACTTAACTTAAGCAAGGGTCACAAACTCAAATTGTCAGGGCCCACTGCTAGTATTGTCATGTCATAGGGCCACTTCAACATTCAAGTACTACAAGAAGGTGCAATATTCTGAAAACATTCCCATTTCTAACATCATACTCCAAAAAAAACATACAAACACAGCAGTTTCTATACTTTTATATCATCATTCTACATCATCTTTGTTGTTTGCCGATAAAGAACAAATAAAAGCGTGTCTTCTTCCTCTTCCTCTTCTTTACCAACTTCTTCTATCACAGTTTCATTATATACATTATATACATAAAGATGGTTCTGGTGTCCACTGCAGTTGCAAGATTAAAAATATAAAAAATAATAATAATAATTTAACTGCTTTGAGAACTAAATATATTTTTCCTGACATGTTAATAAACAAGAAAATATATGATTATCATAGTAAAAAAACATATTGGATTTATCTTTCCTCCTCTTTCTCCTCCATAGCATGTGCTTGCTCCTATGTCGTCCATTTTGAAAAGAAAGAATGAGGAAGTTCCCAGCATCCCCAGCATTTTTTTGTTATGTTTGTATGTATATAGACAGATGACATCCCTTCCTTGCCACCTATGCGTATACTCGTTACTGAACTGTTATATTTCACAATATTATATCAGAGCATTTCAGCTGTGTATATGAGCACATTTTACTGGTATGTGTGAAAGATGTGATTTCACAAGTTTTTATGAGAGCTTTTCAGTTGTGTATGTAAAAGAATTTCTCATTGTTTATGAGTGAGGTTTTTTAGTATAGTATGTGAATGAGTTTGCCTTCAAATGTCTAGTGAGAGAAACATTTTCAACTGTGTATATAAGCACATTTTACTTGTGTGAAAGGTTTTCATTAGTTTTCGTGAGTGTTTCAGTTCTGTGTGTAAAAGCATTTCCCTGGTGTGTTTGTGTGGTTTTCAGAATAGTAAGTGAATGAGTTTGCTTTCATACAGCAGTCCTGCAACTTAAAAAACACAAGCAAATTAAGAAAGTATCCTTATCAACTTGGCAACATAAGCATCCTTTGAGGAAGTACTGGCAGCTACGGAGATGGGAATTAGGGGTGACGCTGCGAGAAGACACACAACGACACGATGCTAAAGAGGTTAGCATCAGTACCTCATAGGAAAGTGCTGCTATTAGTTTTTGTGTTTTTCTAGGAGGGCTGAGTTTTGTGTTTCTTATTAAATGAGAAATTAACTCTTAATACACATTCATATATTGTTTTTTGAAAAAAAAGGGTGTTCTTGTGTTACATAATACATTTTGACAAGTTGAGTTGGTGGTCTTTTTTGCTACAAATGTCTAATTTATTTTCAGGTTGTATGAGCAGTTTGATTTCCATTTAAGGCATACATTCCTTGTGTTGGCTGACCTTTTGTGTTACTTGACAACTTTTTGTAGACTTTTTGTGTTGCTATTGATGGATGAAATCATTTTTAAATCTGGGATAAATTACCAATTTCTTAGTAAGCAGATGTGTAATAAGGGGGATAATGCACAGCGAGCGGGTCATTGTTGCGAAATAAACCCCTTTAGGGTGATTCAAGACCTGCATCACTGTGTTGTGGTTTATTTTGTAGCAATGACCTTTAAACTCTTACATTTTCTATCTTCTAAGTTTAGATATTTTTTCAGACTAAAACGGTCCTGTGGCCCTCTAGACATTCTACAAAAGTTTAAATAAAAACAAAACTGAAAAAGTCGAAATTGTAAGATGTTTTTTTAACCCTAAAAAGGTAGGAAATCACAAAAAAAGACCTGCTAAATGTTCCACTGTGTTCACCAGTTAGTCTCTAACTGTGTCTGTCTGCTGCTGAGAAGGAAGTGTATGAACTGAAAAAGGAAATGACACTGATAAGAGCAACATGACCGTACCAAAAACAGTTGCAGGTGTAAAACCAAGCCAAGAGATGAAAGTTGCTATAATGCATGGTAGAGTTGAGTAGAAATGCAGAGTTGGATGGTAATTCATCTACAAGTAATCATTTGTTCCCTTGTTGATCTGTAAATGTTTATTATAGTTTTACCAATAGAGACTTGGTAGAGACTTTACCAAACTTGATCCTGAAAATGATTACATTACTCATGCCAGTTCCATTTGCTGAAGACAAATGTGAAATGTGGTTGTAAGCTTAGATGGGCTTAGTTTTAAATGTAAGTAACTAACTGTGTAGTTTGTTTTAGGTGATTTTTTAATGTATTACAATGAATGTTTTGAGAGCCTCCAATAATTAAATGTCTCATATTTTATTTTAGTTAAGTCTTAGCAGTGAAGTCACAAGAATGTTCTGAGCTGTCAGACACAGGTCGAGTCTAAAGTCCTTATTATAGTATCTGAAGTATGACTCAGATACATGTCTTCCATCTCCACTTATGGCTGGCCATGCGAAGTGCAATTTTTTTTTAACACCATGTTGTGTGTTGCAGCCTGTGACACAACCCTTGCTGTTCTCATGAATACACTCTTAGGTTGCTCAACCTTCCTGTCTGTAGGTGGAGTCTCTTCACCCAGATAGTGTTCAACACCAACTGTTAACCACAGATGAGAACTGCATCTTCCGGTTGCTGGTAAGTTTGCTTTTATTAAGAAATTGTTTGCTTTAGTAAAGAAATCTTTGTTTTTTTTAACTCCTACAACCCTCTTAACTTTTTGTTTTTGATATTCATACATGGACAGCTGGGGATGTGCTTCAGACAAATTCTGATCAAGGACAAAATAAGGTGTATTTTATCAACTATTTTATTTAATAGTGCCATAGAAAGTCATAAATGTCAGACTACTACCTATGATATAAAAGAAATGTCTACATAGTCTCAACACTGGTTTGTAAAAGTCTGAAAATGTATATAAAGCAACATACGGAAGACAAGCTTCTTGTTTTCTGGGAGGAAGTTGACTCATTTAAAAAAAAACAGACCAAGAATTGTATTTCAGTTTGATTAATGATTAATGCTTAATGTGAATTTTTATTTTGAAAGACATTTTTACATCTTCAGTTAAATATACCATCATTTTACATTATGCTTGGTATAAAAACCTTAAATATTGAAATAATGTACAAAAAAAGGGCAAAAAGGGAGCAAAATATGATGCAATTCATTAATTCTTTGAACAGTTCATCAATAACAAATATTTTGACTGGTTTTCCACCATTAACATGAACAACAGAAAGCAACACAAACATATCATCACATTTTATTTTTGAATCGAGAATTACCACTTCTTCTTTACTGTGGACCTGTATCTAAATATATTTGTGCCTTCTCTAATTCTGCTGCTGCTTCCTCATTTAGTAAGACTAAATGTTGTCTTACTGAGTATAATAATCAGTGGCGGTGTATTTAGTCTTGCTGTCAAAATTGTATGTATGTATTGTAAGTATAAGTAAAAATGCTGTATGCAATAAATGTATTCAAATTAGTCATTAGGCAGTAGAATGTAGGTGGATGAAAACGACATAATCCTGTTGTTGGTAAGTTTGCTCGTATTAAGAAATAGTTTGCTTTAGTAAAGAAATAGTTCTTTTTTTACTTTTACAACCCTCTTCACTTTTTTTTATCTTACATACATGAACAGCTGGTGATGTGCTTTAGAAAAATCCTGATTAAGGACAAAATTAACTGTATTTTACGTCATCAAAGTAGTTCCATAGAAAGTCAGAAAGGTCAGACTACTCCCTAGAATATGAAAGAAATGTCTACATAGTCTAGGCTTGTAAAAGTCTCAAAATTTATGTGAAGCGACATATAAGGAAGACAAGCTTCTGGGAGGAAGTTGATTGAGTTAACTACCGACATTTTTGAGAAAGGGAACAAAGAATTGTCTTTCCCTTTGGTTTCAGAGTTCAGAACCGCTTAATGTGAATTTCATTTTCAAAGACATTTTAATCTTTTAATTAAAGATGTTGCAGTTTTATCAACAAGAACAACTCACGCTTCTAGGCCACATCATATCATATCACTAGTGATGGGCATTCTGGCTCTTTTTAGTGGGCTCAGTTTAGCATACCTATACATATTACCTGTATGAGCCACTGACAGGCAAGACTAACTGTGGTGGTCTGTGTAGGTTCTTGGCAGAATCAATAAATCAATAAATATCTAAATTGTTTGATGTGTTTACATTCATAGTCACCGGTTATTATGAAGTGAGTGATATATGATGCAGTTCATTAATTCAATTCAATTCAATTGTCAGATTTTGGTAATTTTGTAAGCCGCGCCATTCATAGAACAGAAGTTATCTCAGGACACTTTTCTGCGCGCATAATAGAGCAGGTCTAGACCGAACTCCTTATAACATTTACAGAGACCCAACAGTACCACCATTAATGCTTTGAATTTCAGTTCAGCAATATAATTTGTGTTTTGTATAATTTGTATATCATGGTGTAGTTTAAATTATTAGTAATGAATAATAATAATAATCTTGTGTACCTGATTATATTATATTTTTGACATATGAAGGGGATGGATGGCTTAAAATGGCCTGCTTGCCAGAAGTTTGAGATCCCTTACAACATCTGCTTGTGGCAACCAAGGCACAATAAACGTTTTTATGCTCATGTTTAGTGTTATTAGTTAAGATTAGGGAAAGATGGTTAAATACTGAAAAGGTCTACAGTTTGTTACACAGTACCATCTGGAAAGTCATCTTTGGAAACTATTTGGAAAAGGGCAAATTTCAATCCACACAAACCATGTAACGTAATCAAACTCTTACTGAAGCCAGTCGGGAATAGAGTGAAAACATATTTTCCATTGAGAAAAGCCTCCAGTGCCATTCTCTGCTCTTCTTTTAATGGAGAACTCTCCAGTTCTGATATAACTGATGCTAACAGCATCTACGCTAAACTATTTAGCAATCACCATTGTTGTTTAATGAGCAATGTCTTCTCACTGCATCACACCTAGTGCCAACCTCCGTAGCAGCCTGTACTTCCTCAAAAGATACTGATTGCTCTGGCACCACTGTACCAGCCACAAATGCCTGCCAAGATGGATTCTTGGGTGATCTAATGATTTTGTGATCTTGCGAATCTGCCTTGCCCTGCCCCCGCTCCAGGTTATATAAATGGGTTTCTGATGATTTTATTTAAAATTTGTTGCCCCACTGGGTCCTGTACCACTGGGTCCTGTTTTTTAACCTAATCTTAAGGACTTGAAGGGGGTCCATGAGTCAATATCTAGTTTTAAGACATTCATTAATTCAGTTGTGTGCTTCCATGGTATAAACTCTTGAAGTAATGTGTTCAGTCAAATTGCTACACACACAGTAAACCATCTGCCCAGGTTGTACTCTGATACACTACCTGCTCAGGTAGTGAGGGGACTATATACAGTATAGTGCATTCTCAGTGTGAGATGATATCCAGCCCTCAGCTCAACTGCTGTCACTGTGCGAGTTTCTGAAAACCACACCCAAAAAAAGAGAAGTAAAAATACTGGTATAACCCCTCCCATACTGTAGATTGATAGATAGAATGTGGAGGGTTTAATATCCAATGAAAACATACTTTTAAGATGCTATCTTCTGTTTTGCCTTCTACTATATTTAATAATTTAACTTTATTTTTATATTTCAATGCTATCTACGGGTACTGTGGTTCTGTAGATATAAAAGGGTTAACCAAACCAAACATGCATTTCACAACCACCATAGTTTCTCCTTCGTTCTTGGAAGGCAAGGGTGAAGCAAGGGAGTTGCAATCTGCAACTACAATGATAGATCCTACAAACAAATCGTCCATGTAGGAGTGGTGATGTGTTATGTTGTTGCGTTGGCCAGCAGTGATTGGTTTGCTAGTGCTGAAGGGGGGGGGGGCAACCATAGTGACACAGTAGACTACAGCAGCAGTTTAAGTAATTCCCCTTCTGCCAGAGGGTTGGAGACAAAAGTTCTGTACTGCAGGTTAAATAATAGTGATGACCGTGACTACTGTAAATTAGGTGTTTCACAGAATAGTCAACTAGTCAACTAGCAAAACCACCAGTCAACACTGCATTGTTTAATAATAATCGTTTGTGCGAGTAATAAACTCAGCATTGCATCTAAAGCAGATATGCAGCTGGGGACCCAGTAATCAGTGCATCAGTGTTAGCTATTTAGAGCTTAGAGATTGCCTTGTAACAACCAAAGGTGGACATTACTGTATTGTTTGAACAATCATTTTCTTATGCCCTGTTAAATAAAGATAATTAATTTAGAGAAGGAAAGACTCCTGCTGTCTCTGCAAGAAAGCAGTTGTGTTGTTACTGGAGTCACACAATAGCTCTAACTCAGAAAAGCTTGCAGGGGGCTTCAGTCCAAACAGATCACTCCACTGGGTGGTGGCTCTTGCATTTCTTTGACATGTTCCTTATGGTCACCTTCCTTCTTGTTGGGTTTTTATTTTATGGTGGCTAGCAAACAATGAAGCGAGGCAATACTACCACCAACTGCTATAGAGTGTGTCTATAGTTTAGTAGCCTTTCCCTCAGAACTTGAAGGACCACCTTGTTGTTTGGGAACACAAATACAATGGTACTTTCAGCTGTCACGTCTGGGAAGTGGTCAAACACTTTACAATAAGCTGTAGTGACAAAAACAGAAGTAAGGGTGGGTGTGGTATAGTGTTTTTAATGCTTAGAAATCTAACTTCTGTTATCAGAAAGAATGTACATTTTGTACATTTGAAAGTTTAGTTTCATTTGAATGTGTCTTTCAATTCAGTTCAGCACTTAGTTACAGCACAGTACGGCTCAAACGGCTATATCGTTATTATTCCATTAAGAGGCAGCTTTCTAGGTGTTGTCAGTCTTCAGATTGTTTCCTGTCAGCTGTACGAACAGTCTATATAGACTCATGGCGGGACACAGTAACTTAACTAAATTTAAAGTGTACACAGACTGTTTTACAGCTGATTCAAATCTATTTTCATAGTAAGCAGTGTTGTATTGGACTACATTTCGTACTGTAATGGTTTGATGACACTATGCACAATAATCCACCAACTGCTACCTCATCATCTGGCCTTTAAAATCTTATTAGTGATTGTGTAATTGGGGCTACTTATGTGTACTGTACTGAGGTGTCAACTTGTCATATTATCCCAAAGAAACATATACAGAAACAGATTTCTTATGAGCATTTTTTCAGCTTGAGTCACAAAGCGGAAATGTACTGATGTCGCAACACTTTGCTGCTCCCTTCTGCCTTTTATGGTGTCAACTGGGTTGACACAGAAGGAAATACAAGCTTCAGTGTGTTTATGGTTGGCATTTTGGTGCATCTGCATACAGACAGACCCAGTGATGTAGTGCAGGGTACACACAGGTATACGGAGTATACCTACTTATTATTCAGCCGGCAGTAGGTATACCCACTTTTTGTATTCTGTGAGCTGAATTGTTTCCCTATAAATGGCAAAGTAGGTGGAGTAAGGAATAAGGAAACTATACAATACAAGGTTGTATAATGAAATTAATGTTTGCTGTCCTTAATGCTACACACACAGAAAATAATAATTTAGTTTATAAAATAAAATATGACATAAAGTACAAACAAATAAAACCAATACATACAGTTAAACATATACATGTATATACTGTACGTACACATTTGTTTTATCCATGACCCCCGTCTGTTCCTAAACTTAACCAGTTTCTTTTTCAACTACTTACACTGAACTCTACAGAGCCCCTAAAGTCCCAAAAGGTAACTTTTTTTTTTTTTATCTTGTGCGTTTAAGTTATTCTCTTATGGGTACAATACTTATCTTGAGGGCACACGTTATTATTTTATGCGCACAAGTTACTTATCTTATG